AATGCACACGTCGGTGGTTTGGGGGGGTAAGGGTGAGGGATGGGGTTAGAGTTGGGTTTGAAGTTGAGAAAAGGGGGTGAGCATGTGTCTGCTGATGGTTTGGGGTGGAGCTAGAATTAGGGTTGGTTCTAGAATCAGAAGAGAGTGGAGATTGGGATGCAGTTGGGATCAAGTTGATATCAGGAATAGATGTGGGGCTGAGGGGGTTGGGATCATGGTTATGGGTGGGGTTGGAGATGGTTGGATTTGAAGCTGGGGATGGTTAGGTTTGGGGTTGGGGTGCCTGTGTTGGTGGTTTCCGTGTGGGGAAATATTCAGGTGGGGTTAGGGATGAGCGGGAGATGTGGTTGGGGTGGCGACAGGCATGGGTTTGGAGATAAAGGTGGTGCTGGGCTGGGGTTGCTGGCAGGGTGGACTGGGGTTGGGACCGGGCATCGGATATGGGGGTAGCGACCAGGGTCGGTGGTGATCTGCAACATCTTCCTCAGAATTTTCAAAATCCGCCTCGGCCACCACTCCCTGTCGCCCGTATATGAACATGGGCAGCAGATGTTCCACGGGGTCAAGTCCATCCCGCACCCTGGCTACTCCCACCCTGGCCACTCCAATGACCTGATGCTCATCAAACTGAACAGAAGAATCCTTGAGAGTCAGAATGTGAAGCCCATCAACATCTCCTCCCACTGCCCAGCTGTTGGTACCAGCTGCTTGGTGTCTGGCTGGGGAACAACCAGCAGCCCCCAAGGTGAGTGTCCAGGTCCCTCGTGTGTGTGTGTGTGTGTGTGCGCGCGCGCGCAAGCGTGTTTTTTTTTTAATCAAACATCGATCGGTTGCCTCCAACCTGGGCATGTGCCCTGANCGCGCGCGCGCAAGCGTTTTCTTTTTAATCAAACATCGATCGGTTGCCTCCAACCTGGGCATGTGCCCTGACTGGGAATCAAACCCGAGACCCTTCAGTGCACAGGGCAATGCTCCAACCAACCAAGCCACACGGGCCAGGGCCCCGGGTCCCTCCTGATGCCCACCCATGCCTGTCTTCTCCTGGTCTCTGGCTGAGCATCTGCCCCCCCCCCCCGTCTCTCTCGGCCACTCCGGGGGCTTCACCCTGCGTGTCTCTTTGACAGTGACCTTCCCCAAGGTCCTCCAGTGCTTGAACATCACTGTGCTGAACCACGAAAGGTGCAAGGAGGCCTACCCGGGACAGATAGATGCCACCATGTTCTGCGCTGGCGATGAGGTGGGCAGAGACTCCTGCCAGGTAAGAACTGAGCCGTCCCCGGGCGCCCAGCAGACACGCACTAGGTACCCACTGCGGAGCCTGGAGCCGGCTCGGTGCTGAGAGCCCGGCGGGGGCCAAATCTGTTAGGAGCCTGGTTCTCACGGAGCTCATGCTGTGGACAGCGCCGTCCGATGGAAATACAATAATGTGAGGTGTGCAGGTAATTTTAAGTTTTCCAGTAGCAACATTTTTTTTAATTAAAAAAGAAACAGGTGAAATTAACTATCTTTTTTTTTTTAATCTTCACCTGAGGGTATTTTTTCCATTGCTTTTCAGAGAGAGTGAAAGGGAGAGAGAGAGAGAGAGAGAGAGAGAGAGAGAGAGAGAGAGAGA